AAAAAAAAAAAAAAGATATCATTATTTCCTATTTTATATGATCTAATTTTTCTAATATTTCTTAATTATTTATTTATTTATTAATTCTATAAGCTATCCTATTTGTTTTGAAATTTTCGGTGGTTCGCTCATATTTTTTACTAAATCTTTATGCTATATTCTAACTTATTTTTTAAGGTTAATATTAATATAATTGTTTGTGTTACTATTATTGGGCTTTTTATGTATCTGTTACTAATTGTTTTTGTGTTTTTTTTTTTTTTCGTTCTAATTTTTCTATGTGTAATATCATCACGTTGTAATAAAATTTTACTCCCGTTATTTCACTTAGTGTTGCATATCGTGCTATATCTATTTTTACTAATTGGATTTCTCATTCTTTATTAAATTATATTTTTCTTAGACTCATTTTCGAACACCGCTGTTTCAATGCAGAATTTTTAGAAAAAGTGAATTTTAATATAGGTTTCAATTGTTGTTGATTTTTTTTTTTTAAGAATTTAAAAGCCCTTTTAAATGTTTTTGTTCATTCTGGGCATGAGTCTTCTTATATGCCTAAACGATTATTTTTCAGGTTATTGTATTTTATGGCTTTTTTTCATCTTTCGAAAACTATTTGACTATAAACCAATATTAACACTTAAAAAAATTCCTATGAAATAATAAAAAAAAAACCATATATGGATTATCTACTGCATCAAGCAGGTAGCTACCCAACTCTAGAGCTGTAAACGAGTCGAGCCAAGCTGGAGCTTAAGGTGATCGAGCTCTAGCTCGATCTACTAACGAGTCGAGCTAAGCTCGGCTTGTTAAATAAACTAGCTAAAATTCGAGCTCGAGCCTTAACGAGCCGATCTCGAGTTTTAGTGAGTCGAACTATAAAAAATTATAAAAATTCTATATTCGAGCCTTGTCGAGCCGAATCGAGTTCGGTTCGTCAATCAAGCTTTAAATGAACTCGAGCTCGACTCTTTAACGCATCGAACTCGATCGGAGTCGAGTCGAGCCAGACTCGTTTAATTTAACAGCACTACCAACTCTTCTCAAATCCAAATTTAGCAACAGTCGCATAAAACCTAAAAATCTCAACCATTTCAATATAAAGTCAAGTGATGACAGTCTAATACAGGAAATCGAACAAAACATCAAAGATTTCATTATCAATAATCGAAGATTGAAGATTTACAGAGTATAGATGAACTGAGAGGAAAGATTGGGAGAGAAAGAGAAAGTGAGTAGTCGTCTGATGAGAGAAAATAAAACTTAGAATGAGAAAGCAAACCCTAATTCCTATTTATACCTATTCTAGAAACAACATAACATTGAGTAAAAACGTGTTTTACTCATACAAGAAAAATTACAACTTTAACATTACTAAATACAATATAATCTAACACCCCCCGCAAGAGGAACATGTATATTTACAATGTTCATCTTGGATATACAGTTGAAGAAAGGTTGAGGGCTCAAGGGTTTGGTGAGAACATCTGCAAGTTGAGCCTCTGAAGGGACAAAATGTAAGGAAATGGTGCATGCAGCAAGCTTTTCCCGGATTAGGTGACAGTCGATTTCAATGTGCTTTGTCCTTTCATAATGAACTGGGTTCTTAGCAAGGGATATTGCAGATTTGCTATCTGAAAATAATGAAACAGGAGCAGGGTGAGAAATATTTAAATCTTTGAGCAGGTACAAAAGCCATTGAGCTTCACATGTTGTGAGAGCCAAGGCCTTGTACTCTGCTTCTGCAGAGGATCTACTAACAGTGGGCTGCTTCTTAGATTTCCAAGAAATCAAAGAGTCCCCAAGGAAGAAAGCATATCCAGTAATGCTCCTCCTTGTGTCTGGGCAAGCAGCCCAATCACTGTCACTGAATCCTTTTAAAATTAAATTGGAGTTTCTGGGATAGATAATACCTTGTCTGGTAACACAAAACTCCTCGACCGGCTGGAACTTGAGTAATCGCCTTCCTTCTTGTCGGTTGAACGTCGTGTACCTACAAAGAACTCTCACACCGGAGGGGTTTTCCGGTGAAGAGCCTCCGATGATTAAGTCAGTGTGTATTCCATCAATTCTCAAGAGTAATAGAATGATCGTCCTGAAGACGAAAGGCTCACCCCCTTTATATAGAGGTGAGATACCTGACCTAGGGCTGCCCGGATTTGATGAGCTGTCTGCCCTAACTGCCCGTCCGTACGCACCAAACGCGTGTGTCAGAGGTAGCCGTCGCCACTATCGCCTGTACCAATCCCCTTTGGACGCGTGTCCTCCTGCACATGGGATATGCTGTCAGAGGTGGTTATCGCTATCCTCCACTGCTTTCCCGACATGTGTCTCCCTGCACATGGGGTAAATATTCTCCTGGCATTCTGTCAGAGGCTTCCTTCACGCGCCCGTGACTAGGCCGAATAGCGTGGTGTTAAGTCCTCGAAGTAGTCGACCTGATGAGGTCGAATAAATTGCTCGATCGTGTATCTGGTCGAAGGATAGTTCGGTCGACAGCCTTGCTTGGTCGACTAGTTAATTGCTCGACTCCTTTGGCTTCCTCATAATATGACCTCCTCGACCGGTCAACAGACCGGTTCAGCCTTGTGGGTATAATATCGAGAGCCACGAACTTAACATATAGAACAGGCAAGTACGGCCCGTGGTGCGCTACGTGCGCAACCACGTCACCCTTGGCCGCAACACCGCAAACATGACTTATCATCCGAACATTGAAGTTAAACTAAACATGATTTGGCATATAAAAGCTAAATATGCGATAATAGCTCGGAGGATGTTAACTTAGAACATAACATGATCGGCACGGCTACAGCTATTATCACACCTAACACACATGCATGTTTAACTAAAAATTAAACGTAATAAACATGCTAATCTCGGTCAATAGCCGTCGGGAGTTACCTCTAATTAAGCCCAAGTGACTAATCGTTTCGAACTCCCGAACTCGTTCGTGACCCTCCGCGTGTGTGCGATGCCGTGCGGTGGCTTGCGGTGCGGCGACGGACCACTACAACGCTCGTGGATGCTTGCGTACTCTTGATCAACGAACGATATGCTGACTGCCGTGAAGAACTTCGGTTGTGCGAGCGATGCTTACTACTTGCGGTTAACCGTGCGGTGCTTAAACGTGGCCTTGTTGTACGACGATCGTCGTGCGGTAGCTACTTGCGGTGGTTCGGAACTTACGATGGCTCACGGTAGTACTTTCTTCAAGCTACTCTCTCTTTTACTTAGAAGCAAAATATAAGGCTGGAAGTAGGGATATATATAGTGCCGAGGACAAGCTATGATAGATGAAGAAAATGGATCCAAAATGCACAACTCCTCTATTTATACTTCAATAGCCGAACCAAGAATTTGGAGATTAAATCTACTAATGACACTTGGATCATGTATAATGAAGCTTGGGTGACTAAGCACTATCTTTCTTAAGAAAGTGCCACATAATATGCTTAAGCATGAGGAAAATTTGGACTTAATTTCCTCTCCATTTCCCCACTAAACCGTACGGCATTATC